TCTCTCTCTCTCTCTCTCACTTTCTTTCTCTTTTTTTTAAGTAAGCTCTTGGCCCAAAGCAGGGCTTGAACTCATGACCCTGAGATCAAGAGTCGCATGTTCTACTGTCAGCCAGCCAAGCACCCCTGTTCTGCTCCTTTTTTCTTTTTTAAAGATTTCATTTATTTATTTGAGAGAGAGCACTCAGGCACACGCGGGTGGGGAGAGGGGCAGAGGGAGAGGATCTCAAGCAGATCTGGTCCTGAGCACAGAACCCAAGGCAGGGGTCGATCTCAGGACCCTGAGATGGCCTGAGTCAAAATCAAGAGTCCCATGCTTAACCCGGCTGAGCCACCCAGGCACCCCCTTTTCTGCTACTTTTTGAAGACAAATCCAAGGGGGGGGGGGCGCGCCTGGCTGGCTTGGTCAGTAGAGCACCCGAGAGATTACTTGAAAAGAAAATCTTAGTGGCGCCTGGGTGGCTCAGCCGGTTAAGCCGCTGCCTTGGGCTCAGGTCATGACCCCAGGGTCCTGGGATCGAGCCTTGCATCGGGTTCTCTGCTCAGTGGAGAGTCTGCTTCTCCCTCTCCCTCTGCCTGCCGCTCCCCCTGTTTGTGCTCACACTCTCTCTGTCAAATAAATAAAATCTTAAAAAGAAATCTAGAAAAAGAGAGAAAGAAAGAAAGAAAAAGAAAAAGAAAGAAAGAAAGAAAGAAAAACGAAAAATCCAGGAATGTTACAAGAATGTAGGTGTGGTGCAGTTTAGGATCAAAGGTGGCATCTCTAAGTTGTGAAGGAAAAATTCAGTGATTTACACTGTACTGCAGAGTAGACACCAAATGGCTAAAGATTTAGCTGTTGAGAAAGAAGAAGAAAAAGACCTAGGGGAAGATTTAGGATATTATTTTATAACCTCACGGTGAAGTGCTTTCTACCTTTGACTCAACATCTGAAAAGTATTTAAAAAAAAAAAAACTGATGAATAGCATGATATGAAAATGACTTTTCTTTTTTTAAAAGATTTTATTTATTTATTTGAGAGAGAGAATGAGAGACAGAGAGCATGAGAGGGAGGAGGGTCAGAGGGAGAAGCAGACTCCCTGCTGAGCAGGGAGCCTGATGCGGGACTCGATCCCGGTACTCCAGGATCATGACCTGAGCCGAAGGCAGTCGCTTAACCAACTGAGCCACCCAGGCGCCCTGAAAAATGACTTTTTACAAGTTTATTTATTTAGTAACCTCTAGGCCCAGTGTGAGGCTCGGCCCCCACCCCTCCCACCGAGCCAACCCAGCGCCCCTAAGAAATAACTTTCAGTGGAACCTTAAGCACCTGGCATCATCACCCTGAGCAAGGCCCAAAGACAGCTATCCAACAGAAGAAAATATTCAAGGCTTAGAGGACAGACAGAGGGCCAACCCCCTTAATATGTAAAGTACAGCTACAGGCCCAACCAATTCACCTAGCCAGAAAAGGGCCGAAGTCCGTGAACAGAGAGAGTTCAGAGGGAGAAGAAACGTGGCGCTCACACACAGGAGAAGACACTCGGCCTGTTTAGAGAAGTACACAGCAAAACTGCGCTGAGGTACCCTTTCCACCACCTCTAAGAAATGGCCCTCTCCCCCGCCACCTCCCAATCTGCCCGCCCCGCCTCGCCCAGAAGCAATCCCACTCGGCCGCCGCGCGGAGTTGCCGGCGAGGCTGGGGAAGGAGGGGCCGCCTGAGAAGGTCCGCCGCGCTCGCGCTCGCGCTCGCGCTCTCGCTCTCGCTCTCGCTCTCGCTCTCGCTCTCGCTCTCGCTCTCGCTCTCGCTCTCGCAGTCGCTGTCCCCGATCCGCCGAAATTCAAGGCACTCTCGCGGCGAGGGTGGCCGGGACCACCCCGCCGCCGAGGGCACAGGGGGCACAGGACCGGCGTCCGCAGAGCGCAGTGTGCAGGCACTGGGGTCCGTGCGTGTCGAACAGAGTGAGTCTCGCCGAGGAAACGGGAATTGTTCCGTTCCACGAATGTCATCTGGGACATCCCGTTCTCGGGACGGACCCGGCCGGGGCCCCGGACTCTGGGGCGGAAGACTGCCCGAACGACACGGACGCGAGCGGAGAAGTGCCGAGCAGGGAGGGCGCGCCGGGCACTGGCTGAGCGTGTGGGAGGCAAGATCCCATCCACCGAAGCGCTTGTTGAGTGTGCGGTACGTGCTGGGGGCGGGGGGAGAGGGGAGAGAGCAAAGTGACCAAAGCGAAGGTCTCGCCTTCACGGGCTCCCGGGAGCCCCGGGAGCTGCAGCCGTGTCAGCCGTCCCTAGTGCCGAGCCTCGGCGCGGGATGTGTGCGCGGCGGCAGGTGGGCGGCCGGCTGGGCTTGGGCTCGTGGCGCGCGGGGGCGGTCGGGAGGGTGGAGTCGGGCGGCGGCGGCCGCGCCCCCTCGGGGAGCTAAAGGCGGGGCATGCAGATTCGGAGTGGCTGTTGGGCGCGGGCCGGCCGGGGCAACCAGGGATACTCGGAGGTCTCTCGTTCCGAGGGAAGAGAAGGAACCGTCTGCACAAACGTCTAGTGATACGGATGGAACTGTCGACGACGCAAAGGAAATGAGGCCAGGAGTGAGGGCCTGGGTTCTCACCGTGAGTTGAATATGGATGATGGGAGGCCGGTGCCCAGGCGGCGGAGGCGGTCGGTATCGCTTTTCGGCTTTTTCGCAGAGCTGAGGTGTACGGTGTGTCTTTGTCAGCTTAGTTTGTGATACGTTTTTCTCCCGCAAGGCGGTATACTAAGTGGGTTTTTGGAGTTAGGGGGTGGGTTATAGAGCCTGCTGTGTTTTTTCTGTGCGTCGACCTGGTGTTGAGCAATTCCTGGGAGGGGTGCTCGTTCTCTCAATTTACTACCGAGGTGAAGAAATAGGTTTGGAGGCTTTTTCTATGCATTTATGCTATTACGGTGTTTTGTACGGTTTGGTTCTTTGGTTGTTTTTTCTATTTGCATCTTGCTTTTATTTGCGTGCGGTCTTGTTTTTGTTTTGGGGTCCCTTGGAAACTCTCCGAGGGGGGACATACGTTCCTGCTTCGTCCTGTGGTGGCCGCTGGTTTTTCTTTTTCTTCTCTTCCTGCGTTTGGGTCTCGGTTTCCACGGTGTTGTTCCTTAGAGGTTCCTACCTTGCTGTGTCACCCACCCGTTGCCTTTCCTCGTTGTTGCGTTTCCTTGCTCCTGTCATCCGTCCCGCTGCAGGTCATTCCCTCGAACGTTTAGCTCCCGGCTGTCTCCCTTTCCAACACAATCGTGTCATTCCGGCTGTCTCTTTTTCCCACGCACTCGTGTCATTCCCGCTGATCTCAACAGCCTCACTGCTGATCCTTCCGAACCCCTTCGTCTCAGTTCTCCGACCTCGGCTACCCTTACGTAAAGCACTCACTCCCCTGGTCCGACCCTAGATCTTGTCATTACGAATTGCTCTAACCCCTTCCACATGCAGTCTTACACTGGCCAATCACCTTCTTTCCCCCCCGCCCCGCCCCCGCCGGCCCTTTGGTACCACCTACCACTTTTCACTGTCCCTTCACCCCCACCCCACCCCCAAGCCACCAATGTCCTCCCATCCTTATTATTTTTTTTTCTGTAGACGCTTAAGTATTCGCTTTATTTGGATAGTATACTTGAACATATTAAAAGTTACAAAGCCTAAAATAAGCAACAAGTCAATAAAATCACAACTCAAGAATTCTTTTTCACATGGTATCACTGACTATGAAATGCAAAAAGACTATAAATGTTTTACGTGGAATGATCTCTAACCTAATAAATTACACTAGTGTGACCAAAACAAATGATCGCATACCGTGGAAGACAATAGAACATGAGCTGTTCTCCAGGACTGCTTTTTCAAAGCTTGAAAGATGAACTGACCCATCATTTTAGGGGGAAAAAGAGAAGTATGGATTACGAGGCTCTACATGTAGATTTTTAAAATTCTAATTAAAACATCTTAAGACTATTTTAGATGTTTATTTGACATTGGAAATGTAGTCGACTATCAAAGTATTTCTCTTCATCACGAGAATTCCATGTATTAAGGATTTACACAATCCGGGGAGGGCGGGGGGGGGGGAACCCTAGAAACATTTTAGTTGCCTGAGCAAGTAATTTTCTAAAAAGGCTCTCCAAAGTCTTGACTAGAGGCGTCATACTCTGCAATGAAATGCTTGAGTTCTTCAACACACCGCTCACCTATTTCATGTAAATTCTGTCTCAGTGCAAACTGTACAGACTTTTCTAAGGAAGGATCTTTTTCAATCAGCATTTTCACAACCCTCCCGAAAGTTCCACAGTCTTGTCGGTAAACCTGTTCCATCTCTTTGGTTTTTGATGCTATTGCTTTAGAGCGACTGCTTAGTTGACTGTCTTCAAATAATTCTATGCCATCTGTTGCATTTGACTCAGGTTCCTCTGGCTGCTCGATAAACAACGGTGCTGTGGATCCTGGCTCATACTCAATCTCAGGTAAGTCACTCTCATCTGCCTTCTCTAGCTTCTCAGCAGCCCACTTGCCTGCAGCCTCGGCACGTTCCTTTTCAGTTAGCCTACTGGGTCTGTCTAACACCTTTGATATGTCCTCCCATCCTTACTGACCGAGATTAATTTCCCTGCACATACCGTCAGCTCCCTTGCCACGCCCTTGGTGCCACCTGTGCCACTGAACGTGGCCGGCAGAAAGCATACCACCAGGCTCACGTGGCTCACCTTAGCGCCCAGTATGCCGGGGAAAACTAGACATCGTCAGCGTTTGCTACCGGGCACCCAAGAGGCCCTTCCACGAGAGGTAAAAATAAAGCATAGTGGGCAACGGCTTTATTAAAAATTGCCATATGAATTTAAACATAGCACACCTACGTTGTAAATTACTTCATAGTTTCCAGGTTCTGAAGGTCTGAATACCTGAATCTTGCGACATGCTCCGAATGCCAGGAACTGCTCGTTGGCTTGTCCTACCCGGCCTGCGGGATACTGCCTCCGGACCTCAAATCCATCCCCAACAGGTTTGGCCTCACCACGACTTCTGGTCCTTCTTGCACTTGCATTGTCAAAAGGTAACAGCTGAAGAAATTTTTTGTGACCCTTGTTGAACTGCAAATCCTGGAGTTGGAGAAAATTCATCTAGGATATTGTCATTTTCAGACATGCGGTCGGAGATGTCCCTCGTGTAATCCCGTTCACCGTCCTCATTAGAGACCAGTCCTTTGCTTTCATCTTCTGATTCCTCTGCCGGTACCGTCATGATCGGTCTCACGGAAATGGGCGCCTCTGGCCGTGTTCTTCTCTTTGTCATCCGGGGTGGAAAGATGAAAATTTCCCAATTCTCGCTTGCAGTCAGCAAAAGCAAAATCGAGCCTTCGGAGATGGTGTCTCCCACCTGCTTGTCCACCTTCGGGACAGGGGAATGCGTACTTTGTTACCGCAACAAGGCAAGGAGAAAACGGAAGGATGGTGGGTGCCACGGCGACGACTTGTTCCGCGACCGCTGCATCACCCCTCTAAGGGATTCCTTCATTCCCCCATTTTCCTGATCCTTGTAGACTTTTTCGTCCTAGCTATGGATGGAGGAATAAGTGCAGGCAGGCCGAAATATGCCTAGGATGACGACATGGCAAATCGTGTCGAGATACGGGGAAAGTTAGATCGCGAAGACGCCGTGATGTGTCTTCGGTTTTGAGAGAGAGGAAAGCGGCGGCAGGAGCTGGCCCGCCACTCACAGCTAGCCGTGGTGGTCTCCGGTTGGACATACACAGTTTCGCCCAGCAGTGGCAACCTTAAAAATAAAATAGCCAGTTATTTTACTAGCAAAATGAGTCTGTTCGGGGATGGCAGAGGCATTGCAGTTAGGGACGGACATGCAAGCTAGGGGGGAGCCTACAGGCAAGTCCGAAGAGGCAAAGGGAAGGTCAGCTTTTTTTTTTTTTTTTTTTTTTTTTTTTTTTTTTTTTTTTT